AGTACAGCTTCAACTATATAGACATATGCTGGAATTCCTATTTTTGGCTAAAAGCTGTACACTGGAATTATTTAGTGCCTTGGTGACCTAGTCGATTCCATTGACCAAGGAAGTTTGGATTAGCAAGCAGAAGTAAAAAGACTGATAAGAGAAAACAACCATGTAATCTTCTAGTTGATTTATACAAGCCATAGGAAAAACAATGGAAGTGTACACAGAATTTTAGGAAGACTGCAAGTGGTTCAGTATAATCTCTGGGTTTGAAACACCAACAGGGAAAAAAATTAAGAGGCTATGAAAACAATTCTTGCCAAATAGTCATCATCAATGATGCTATTCATGAAGAAAAAGGAACCTAGAGACACTCAAGAGGCCACACAAAGAGTTCCCTATAAGTTTGTACATTTACAGTACAGGTATATAAGATAGGAGGACAACATAACTAAGGATAAAATGAAAGCATGATGTGAATATATAACATTATCTAGTAAGATTAAAACTTAAGCCAAAGCAAAAAAAGCTAAAGCTAAAGATACTTTTCTAGTTGTGTTCAGTGGAAGGGAAACATAATCTGATATTCAAGGTAACTAGTAAAATACTACTCCTATTTTTACTTTCATGCACTCATTCAACAAATCTTTACTTCTGTGCTAAGCGCTTGGGACACAAAACAAAGTCTTTGTCCTAATGGAGCTTGTATTCATCAGTCTTCCAATCTCAGAATGGAAAACAGAATAAATCCTAAAAAAGATAAACTGTACAATATGGATGAAGAACTAGGGTGAAGGTAATTGGCTTTATAGAGACAGCTATATTTCATCTGGTTTTAAAGGCTGAATAGTTGTTGACCAGGCATATTAAAAGTGGGGCCTGTATTTCATGTGAAAGAAACAGCATGTGCAAAATTATGAAACAGTATAGTGTGTTTCTGAAATGTATTGGAAAGAAGTAATGAAGTAATAAACTGAGACCAGATTTTAAAGGAAATACTTAAAGCCAGTATTTCCCAATTTAGTGTTCCCAGGATGTTTTATATGCCAAGAAAAAAATTATTCTGTTCTAAAGTACATTTGAGCAGGGTGAAGCAGTTTTATTTAACATGGGTTAAACACATCTTAATATGCTAATGTGAATTCTGATTCTCTAGAAACAGGATGCACTGTTTCCCAGACGTTTTTGAAAATAGAGCATATATAAAAATTTCCTGTCTCGGAAGCTAAGCAGTGTCAGGCCTGGTTAGTACTTGGATGGGACACCACCTAAGAAGACCAGGTGCTGTAGGCATAAAAAATAAAAAAATAAGGGACTATAAGCCGACAAGGTCCTTGCAATCTGTGAGGTCAGCCAAGGGTTGATATATATATATAAAATAAAAAATAAAAATTTCGTGAAAGCAGATAATGGGGGACTTGAAGGATTTTATGTAGAGGAGTGGCATGATTTGAATCTTTTTTTTCCCTTCCCAGTTTAGATGATAGCCTTAGGGGATGCAGGTGGAAGATAATAAGAGCTAGGAGGAGAAATAAAATCTGGGAAACCAGACAGGGAGACTTGTTGGCAGGGCAAGAAATAATAGTGACTTGGACTTACAGGAGTAACAGTGGATATTTCAATATTTAGGGGAAAGGAGAACTTTCTAAAAACTTCTACAGACAAACTAATCAGATCTTTGTGACCTGATAAGATATAGGAAATGAAGAAAGAAATCTTGATTTTGGCATGAGTGTCAACCAAGATAGGGAATATAAGAGAAAAAAGATTTATTGTAGATGATTAAATTGAGTGTGTGTGTGTGTGTGTGTGTGTGTGCGCGCGTGTGTGTGTGTGTGCGCGCGCGCGCGCATGAATTTGTATTTGTGGAAGGGGGTTGTTTTGCAGATTTAGCTGGAGATATACAATACACACAGATTGGCTATACATCTCCACAGCTTAGCGAAAAGAACTAGGCAGGAGGGATAGATTTTTAAGTCATCACCATTATAAGTAATATTTAAAACCATGGGTATAAGTGAGATGCTTGGAGAAGCACACTCCCATTATACTAAATAAGTTCCAAGTGATCAAAATTTAAACTTTTTTTAAATGATAAAACATTGAAGACATCACAATCTTGAAAAGGAAAAACTTTTCTAAGCAAAATCCAAGAGCTATGATTACATATAACTTAAAATTCTATATGGGAAAAAAATCACGATAAAGTCAACAGATTAGAAAATTATTTCATATATTTTATTCACTTTAATCTACATTTATATTTAACAAAGACCTATCGCTATTGAAAGAGCTCTTGCGAATCTGTAAGAAAGAGACCAACAACTAAAGAAGGAAAATGGTTGAAGGCCATGAACAGGCAGTTCATAGAAAAAGAAACAGATGGTTATAAACATGAAAAAAAGGTTCAACCTCACTCATAAAAACAGAAATCAAATTAAAAATAATAAGCTACCATTTTTACCCTTTAGATAGGGAAAAGTCAAAAGATTTGACAAGAATTAACAAGAATGTAGAATAGCTGGCACCTTTATATACTGCTGATAAAGTATAAAATGCCAAACTCTTTGGAAGTCAGTTTGACAGTAAAACAAAGGTAAATCCATATACCCTTTGACTCAGAAATCCCACTTCTATTGTGTGGCTTATAAACACATACCATGAGTAATATGCAGCTATTCAAGAGGAAGGTAGAGCTTTGCGTGGCATTATGTGTCTATATCCAAGATGTTATTAAGTGAAAAAAAAGATGCAGAATAGTGAATCATTAAGTATGCTCTATGAGTAAAGAAAATAAAAGATTACACTTATATTTATACTTGTGCACAGAAATTTTCTGGGAGGATACACAAGAAAACCTGATAGTGGTTGTCATGGGAAGGTGGACTGAGGGGTTCAGACTAGAAGGATTTCACAAATACACAGTTACTTTTAAAAAGAAAAGAAAAAGAAGGCCCCAAAAGGCAAAGAAACTAATTAAGAGTTAAGTTTGCTATTATAGAGAGGTTTTTGCTGCACACAGTGATTACCTGTTAGCATTGTTTTAAGGGGCTTTTATTATATGTTTGAGAAGAAATATGAGTAGTCAGATGACTTATTAAGAACATTCCAGCTTAGTTTTGGTGGTTATCAATTTAGAACACTATCCACTTACATTAAAATAAATGTCAAAAGAATGATGAATACATATGTTAGGCTGCTGTAACACATTACACAGAAGTTTTTTTGTTTTTTTTTTCCTGAATTACAGGGGTTCCAATTTCATCTGCTGTTGCAGGTGTGGCAATAGGATTGGTCACCAAAAACAGTCTTGACAAGGATGAAATAGAAGATTATCGTTTGCTAACAGATATTCTGGCAAGTATATTAACAGTTTCAAATATTCAGTGGTGAAGATTATACATACTTTACAAGCATCCTATGCTTAGAAGAATGCTAGGACTCAAAGAATAGAGGTCTTTGTTCTTACTTTCCTCCTCTCCACATTTGCCTTAGATTTTATAGGATGTGAATTAAAAATATATATTACAATGTAAGTATCCATAATATAGTTCACTTTAGGATGGTCATAAATTAATCCTTATGCATTTATTGGGGAAAACACGATCTAAAACTAGTGATTTTCTGGTAAAATATTTGTAAATTAAAAGCCACAAATTGGAAGCAGTTACTGTAGGAGACACAGTTTACTGCTAAAGCTTTTTTTTTTTAATTTCTCTACACTGATGATGGGTGAATTTTGTTTTTGTTTAAAATTATATCACAATTTCTTAAAATTTCTTAAGGGAATTGAAGATTACAATGGTGACATGGATTTCAAAATGGCCGGCACTAATAAGGGGATAACTGCATTACAGGTATTTTTAAACCCTTTTTCTTTTTAAAAATAATATTTAATTATGTCATGAAGCAATTTATATAATTCTTTGGCTTTTATTTATTAGGCTGATATTAAATTACCTGGAATACCAGTAAAAATTATAATGGAAGCCATTCAACAAGCCTCGGGTAAGCCAAGCCAGTGTGCCTCATTCTCTTTTCATCCTCTAGTTTGTTAATAGAACTATAATTTCCATTAGGCTTATTATAAAATAATGCTTTAGAAAATAAAATTTCATGTAACAGCGTAGATCAAGAAGTATTACGTTATTAGGCACATGACTAATCACCAAAGTAAGAGAACTGTGAAAATTCCATTTTTACAAATTTAGTAACTCTAAAATGGAATTTATACAGAAGGAAATTCGAATAGAATTGTCAAGGTAATTGGGATGTGAAGAGCTTTGATTAAGCTAAAGAGTTTAGACTTAATGCCATAAAAACTAAGAATACTGCTATACCTGATCACATCTATTTTATGTAGTTATAACTTTTATTATGTTTTTAATCTCTTCTAGGGGCAAAGAAGGAGATATTACAGATTATGAACAAAACTATTTCAAAACCTCGAACATCTAGAAAAGAAAGTGGACCAGTTGTAGGTAATACATTAAAATTATTACTGATTTCAAGATAAAGTAAACATTAATATATGAAAGTATATTACTATTGTTAAATGTTTTTTTATCTCCATAAACAAAACAAAACTATTTAAATACTTTTATAGTTTTAATACTTTAAATTTGGGGAGATATTCTTGACAGAATTTTCAGTAATTTTAGTCAAGTAAAAAACTTTTTCTATGTCAAACTGAAATATTTTTACATGTGCCTAGGCCAGAATAAAAATAAGTGACCAGGACATGTTTTAGGTTTATATATGTATTTGAATTATTTATATTTTTATCTGTACATTTCAGAAACTGTTCAGGTTCCATTATCAAAACGAGCAAAATTTGTTGGACCAGGTGGATATTACTTAAAAAAACTTCAGGCCGAAACAGGTAAGAGTTGTATGAAGCTTGGGTTTTTTAGATAAAGTTAGGAGGCCATATAAGTTTGCCATGTCATCTCTATTGTGTTGCTCCAAAAATATGTTTGATAAATAAGAGAAAGACCAAAAGAAAAGGATTTAACATTGACATCTCTTTACTGTAAATTTTCTGTATGCCTATTTATAAAATAGCAAATGATCATCCTTAACTATATTCAAGAAGGATGGCCTAGAATTCTTCAGGGTTTTTTTGCAATAATTTCAAATCAAACATTTAAGTTTGCTTTAGTTTTCTCTTTTGATTGCTTTGGCTATTTTTCACTCAGTCTTATTTAGACTCTTATTTAAAGAGTATGTGCAGAAATAGTATACTTTAATTTGTTTTTTCTGGAAGCAATTTTTGAATTACCAAGTACTTACCAGTTTTGAGGTTATTGAAAGAAAGTGAGAAGAAGAGTCGCCTTACCCAGTTAAGATTGAGAAACTGACATGATTTCATCCCTCATTCATGTGTTCACCACCCTACAGGGTAAGGAAAAAGAAGAAAGAAAAGGTGAGGAAAGGGTTCTAGTATAATTTCTATTCATTATTAAGTAGGCAAAACCAAAACCTCCAAAATTAGAACATATGCTTTATCCCACCAAGAAAGAGGAGACATTGACTGCAAGAAAGAGGAAATTGGCTAGTACAATGTTGCGTACATTGCAAGTGTGCAGTATGTATGTCAATTCTTTCATTCCTAAAGCAGTGATTAAACACGGCACAACCCTGCCTGGTTACTTCCAGTTTGCTCCCCTCCTCTCACATCTACTTTAAAGACTAGTCTCCACGGGAATGAGCAATTTAACTTTAATGTTAAATTATCTTTTTAAAAGGTGTAACTATTAGTCAGGTGGATGAAGAAACATTTTCTATATTTGCACCAACACCCAGTGCTATGCATGAAGCAAGAGACTTCATTACCGAAATCTGCAAAGATGATGTAAGTACAGATCTTATGATACTTTTTCTACTTTTTACTGCTGTTTTATCAATCTTATGGCTTATTTTGCACTTACAGCAAGAGCAGCAGCTAGAATTTGGAGCAGTATATACCGCCACAATAACTGAAATCAGGTAATATCAAGTAATATGCTGTACTGTTTTTTTTTAATGACTTACATTACAAGCCCATATTAACTTCATGTTTTATTTACTTTGAAATTACATGTTTAGATAACACATTAATTACCAATCATTAATATTTTTAAATATAATTTTATTTTCTATACCAGTTTGTAGATTTTCAGTAACATGGTTCTGTGATTACATTAATAGATTCTTCTAACTGAATTATTTAAACAAATTTCTCACCATTTTAATTTTCCCAGTAAATAGTTAACTGGCCCAAAATAGACTTAGCAATATTTCCTTTTTCTTTCTGCTTTTTCCTTTTTTGGTAGTTTCTTGTTGGTGTTTTAAAGATAGTACTATTTAATGCCTAAGTAGCACATTTTTTTTAAATGAGAGTTTCAACCTCAAAGCATTTTTTTTACCAGATAAAAAGATTACATTTTCAGGATCAAAGAATCCTCTTTTTAAGAAAAAAAGATATTAGATGTAGCATGAATGTTCAAGGTAATCTGAAATGAATGATAAAAGGCAGTAAGATGATTTAATATCACAGGTGAAAACTAAGAAATAGAATGGCTTATTTCAGATCAGAGTAAATAAGGAAAATTTTTAATGGAATAAGTATCTCAGTTTATTTAACCCCCTTCCTTAAATGACTACATAATGGATTGATAATGCTACACTATTTTAAAATACTGAATAGCATTTAAAAAAATTTTGTAAAATTTATGAAGAGAATGATAGACTATATATTCTAAAAGCTCTTCACTATATATTTTTCTTTCATCTTTTCTCTGTCCTTTGATTCACAAGTGTTTACATACAGGGTGTATTTCCAATTGAAAAAATAAGTATCCCTTCTAGATAATCATATCTTTTATAGTTATAAAAATATACTGGAGGGTTGTTTTTTTTTAACTTTGTTTTCCTATGAAAACATAATCACAGTTTGATTATCAGTAGATACATAGATACTTAATATTTTAACCAGGCTTATTTCCTTTTTTGTAGAGACACTGGAGTAATGGTTAAACTATATCCTAATATGACTGCAGTACTACTTCATAACTCACAACTTGATCAACGAAAGGTAAAAAATGAGATTTGATTATTTTAAAAACTGCCTTAAAATAACTATAGTGAAATTTCCTAGATTGACAAGAACTGTGTACTTTGTCCACTACTGGCCTAATATAGAAAACCAAAAATGACAGAGGTGCTGCAGACCAAAGGTTTTACGTTGTTTACAGCTATTTATATTTCTTCTTCCAGAATAGAAACACTCTTAAAAATTTTGGGGTAGAATAACATCTAAAGTTAACACAAAGCAGTTACTAAAAATATCTAGGTATAACTCTGTTTTCCCAATTTTCTTGATCAACCAATCGTGGCAAGATAATTCTCAGGATGTTTTTAAATTTATTTAATTTTTGTTATAGTTTATACATAAAGATAGAATATGAAAACATTCCAAAAAACTATGGAGTAGAAGACTAATAGGAATGTGTTTTACCATCTATTAAAATATAAAGCTATAGAGAATAAAACAGTGTATTACTGTCCCAGAAATACAGTCCATGCAACAGGAAAAAAAAAGACCAGAAATAAACCCAGTTATATATATGGGACTATAAGACCTGCTAAACAGTCAGTCAGTGAAGAATCAAAGATTATTCAATAAATCATACTGCTGCAGCTGATTATCATAAAGCAAGATCTCTACTTTTTTAATACTAAAATCCCACCTAGAATAAGAAGCTAAATGTAAAAAAAAAATACATTTTTTTAAGGTAGTGAAAAAAGAAAAAGAAAATTGGGGCATGAGGGGAGTGTTGAGGGAGGGCATTTTAATAATCTTGAGACTGTGTAAATACTTCTCAGCATGATATCAAAGCCAAAAGTGTAAATAAATTGATAAAATTTTACCTCATGATGTTTTTTAATTATATGGCAAAATTAAAAAAGGTTCAAAAACAAGCAGCAACTTAGGGAAAAAAATGTTTATAGCATATGACAGAGGCATCATATACAAAGGGCTTATACAGATCAGTAAGAAAGATGAACACCAGTAGGAAAATAAGGAAAGAATATGGACAAACGGGTTTTTTTTTTTTAAGTTAATCAAGATATTTAATATCTATAGCAATTTTTTTAAGTGCAAATAAAATCAAATTACCATTTTCAGCTCTCAGATAGTTGAAAATTCCCAGTGTGAATAAGAATGTGGGGAAGAAATGGGTATTCTCATACACTGCTGATAGGAATGTAAATTGAGATAAGCTTTTTGGAAAATATTTGATAAATGTATATGAGTACCTTTGGACCTAGGAGTTCCACGTGTAGATATGTTTTAAGAAGATAAGTAAAGTAGATGAATACATAATCATCACAACACTGCAGTTTATTTTTCCTCAAATTTTTGTTTTGGAAAATACACTGAACACCCATATACCTTTCACCTATATTCACCAATTATTAACATTTACAGTACTAGAATTTAAAACAAATTAAATGATCATCTATAGGGGTTGGTTATACAAATTATATCATTTGAATACTTGACTATGTTTCATTTATTGATATAAAAGGATGTCCTCAACATATTATTGAATGAAACAACAAGCTCAGTAAGGTCCATCTATACAAATGCAGTATACACACACTAAATAGACATTTGAAGAAATACTCATTGGTGTGTTAATAATAGTTTATAAGTAGAAGGATTTGGGATGATTTTTACTATCATCTGAATACTTCTGTATTATTTTAAATCTTTATAATTAAGATTTTATAATCAGAAAAATCAATAAAGCTATTTTCCACTTCCAGGGCGGGGTGGGGGGTAGTATATTACCATAGATGTTAAGTAATTATATATGACAACTAACATGTTCTCTTTCAGATTAAACATCCCACTGCCCTAGGATTAGAAGTTGGCCAAGAAATTCAGGTACTTGTATTTCAAACTTTTAGCCTTAGAATTATAAATTGTATTTGAAGTTTCAGTTATTTGTTTCAAAAAGTAAGCTGAAAAAATCAAATCAACATCAGTGATTTGTATTATTTATATGCCGTTCTTTTTTTTAATCTTAGGGTTGCTTAAACAGACTCATTAAGGATTTAAGGCACAATTCTTTCCCTCAAGGAACTTACAGTTTGGTTAGAACAATAGTCCCCGCTAGAGCTTTTAAAAATATATGAGCAGCTTAGTGATGGCTATGCCAAGTCAGTGATTTGGAGACAGGACATGAGAACCCTGATAAATGTAACTTTGTTGAAGACTTTTAATGTCATTTTCGAATTGAGACTTCAATTGCTTCTGCACTGCCTGAGGCTAAAAGTTTTTGAGTTTGATGAAAGCCATGTTATTTAGTTCTACAATTCTGATGACAAAATTGACCTCCTTTTTATAGTCCTTCATGAGTGGATGAAAGAACTTATTGCTAACCTGGGTTTTTCTGGACACTTCACATTGTTCCCGTTACACCTAATACCTGAGTAACTAAAGCTTTTAGTTTATTCCCAATCTCTAGTCCCCTTGTTCAATAATACCTCTGTGTAAGGTTGTTTTGTTTTGTTTTGACATCAGAAGCAACTTAAAAACTGCCACATTTCCCCCTGACTTTTTCACTAAAGTGAAGTCAAATAACCTCCAGTGTGATAGTCCTTTGAGCAGTAATCTGAGTGACCTAAGCATAGTGACCTAAGCATAATCTCATATAGTTTGTAGCACAATTAGGCTCAGAAAGTCTTTGTCTAGAATCATTCACCATGGTTTTGACTGTTCTGGTGTAGGGACCTGGCTTGGAGAGAATAAGAAGGCACAGATGAGTCTAACAGAAGATTATAATTAGGCAACAAAATGCCCCTATCTCTTTTCCTTTTTTATAATCATTACTTAACCAAAATATATGTATTAGCATATACCATCACCTAACACTGAGCTATGCTTTCTGTTAACAAATAAAAACAATCATTAATCATTGCCTTATTTGGACCATGTAAATTGAAATATCTTTTAATTTGGATGTCAGTGTACAATAACTTTAAAAGTAAATTTGTTTCTTTAACACAGGTGAAATACTTTGGACGTGATCCAGCTGATGGAAGAATGAGACTTTCTCGGAAAGTGCTCCAGTCTCCAGCTACCACTGTTGTCAAAACTCTAAATGACAGAAGCAGCATTGTAATGGGAGAATCTTTTTCACAGTCATCATCTAATTCTTCCCAGTAATATATTTTTTAAGAGAATTCTAGAGTGATATTCTATAGAGCAAAGTTTCAGTAGTATCTTCTAATGTATAGATTTATATATACTATAAATATATTCTAATGATTTATATTAAAATGTTCATTTTACATGTGCCATTTTTTAATTTCAAGAGTTACCTATATATTCTTATTTATAT